GAGAATGTATGTTAGAAAATCAGTACTGCTCTCAGAGTGATGCCTACTGATGGGGTCGTAGATGAGAAAACAGGAACCATGAAAGCAGTTCTACGTGTTCAAACAGAAAAACAGTGCAGCACAAATTAAGACATCATTGAGTTTTTCTTAAATAGGCACCCAGGCCAACATGGTCACTCTCAGAGGCCACATTTGCCTTTTGGCCAGTTCCAATGATCAGAGTTGATGCTTCCTATAGGTAATTATCCAGGCTCAGGGACTTGTCTCAGTCAATAACCGGAGTGCAGGGAGCTCCCGCAGGGTTATTCACACGGAAGTACTCACTATATATTCTTGCTCCAACTCACAGACCACATGGCCTGAATGGGAGCAATAAGGCCTCTGCAAAGCTGACCCAGTGCTGTTGAGCAAATTGCAGAGCTGATCTCTCAGCATTAAGAGAAGCCCATTAGCACAACGGAGCTACTGTGGCTGTCAGAACCACTGGGTGCCTGGCCATGCCTGCGTGCTCTGCTGAGACTGGCTTGTCAGGGAGCTGGCTATGCCTTTGAGATAGATCAAAGTTAAGTTGTATGTACTCCACTCACTCCAACTTCTCGAGAAAGGGAGCTTTATGCAGGCTAGGTGCACATAATAGGAATCATTCAGTGGCTTTGTAGCTCTTCTTTGGTGCATCATTACACTGTCCCAGAAAATGTACTAAATAGGAGAGAGATTCGGAATAATAAAAATCAGTATGGCTCAGGCATCAGCCAGTCGTAATGAGTGCAGCCCATTGACCTACTGGTGCAGCTTCCCCTGCAATGAGGGCAGGGGAGAAACTCCCAGGAGACAACATAAGTAACCCTCAGCCTGTCCTGGTACAAAATGGTCAGTGGTAAGATAAATAATGTGACACACAAGTCCAATCTGCTCCCTATTTTCTGGACTCGTGTTCATATTGTCTTTTCCAGTGTGGTCTCTAGACCCTGTCTCCCTCATGCATCTTCTGCAACACACTCTAAATGCTCTAAGTTTCCGTCAGCATCTTCCCCCAAAACACTCTGACTGAGCCCTCTACGATCAGAAAATGAACCACCCACCCCCAGCATATTGCCTTCTCCTCCTCAATATCCACCTTTCACAGCCCTATCCTTCTGGATATGGGAAAGTTTTAGGCCTGATTCTCCTGGTTGAGAAACATCTCCAAAACATTGAGAATTTTTCTCTCTTTTATCTATTTTTCTACTTCTCGCTGCTGTTTCTTTCTATTCTCACCATATCCTTTCAGTTTGCTGTAATAAGATGCTGTGTAAAAAGGATGGCTTTCTCTTGCCTGTCTTTCCAGGCCCTTATTTACTTCTGGTTTGCTGCTCTCCTCACCCGAAGCTGAATCTTGATTGTGTTGAATAAAGACAAAGATGCTAAGAGTCTCCACAGCAGTGAAGGAGACCCTGTGTTTCTGAAGCTTTTTTTTTTTTCTTTTTTGTGATTTTTTTAAAGCTACATTGGTACCCAAATATTTCTAGGGCGTTGTAACTGCGGAAGCTGCACCTTTTTTTTTCTTTTCTTTTCTTACTAATCCAAACCAAACACTCTTTCTGTTTGCCTTTTAATTTGCGTCTGTAAAAAAGATAAGTTGCAGTTCACAATTTCTGAAAAGTGGATGAAAAAAGACATTTTAATAAAGTGAGATCATGGAAGTAAATCACAGCTCCTAAGGACCGTCAGAATCAGGTGAAAATGATTCTTCGCTATACAACTTTATTGTGTGTTTTTGTTTCCAGAATTTTCCGCCAGTGATATCCTGGAAACTTATGGCTGGAACTCAAAATAGGTTCATACACCTGTCATGCTCATTTACCCTCTAGGCGCATGTCTGTTACATAGACAGAGCAATAGAAGTATCTAGCAAACGTGTGTTAATGTTAATTTTGCATCTTTCACATTCCTTTCTGACAGAAATTATCCACTCAAACCACATGGACTATTCTCTCCTTAGGAACTATCTTCTCAATCCGGATTTAGCTACTTAACTGGATCTCAGTAAATTAATTCAGAGTCAATTCATGCATCTCATAGAGAACATAGTTTTGTCATTTTGTAGTTATGTGATGTGTTTAATTCCAATGATGTTTTCAAGTATAATAAGATCATTTTATTCTGAAGATCTAGGTTATAAGCTTTTTCTTAAACACACATATTTCTTCAAAGATTGAAAGACTGAAGAGCTACAACTGATGAAATTTAAAAGAATATGATGTGGAATGTTGAAACATTTTGAGGACAAGAATAGAACTTTGAAGGGGACAATTTAAGTGAGACATCTGGCTTTGAATGAATAAGTCCTTGAACGTCTAATTTGAAAATGTCAACCAATGTTCCTGTGAAGTGAGCACAGTTTTTGAAAGTAGTAAGTCCTGGAGATTAAACCTATCCTTGACCTTGAAAAACAGGTGGCTTAACTTACCCAAAACTTTAAAATTTTAAGATATAAAATGAGGTAATCATCTATGGTGGATAGAGTTATTGTGAAAATCAGAGCCACCTATAAAACTGGATCACTCAAACTCAGTCAAGAAATAAAACCCAGTGAATATTTCACATAGAGAGGATCAAACACACAAATACGGTTACACAGGTGTTGGAAAACTGATAGAGCAAAAATGAAAATCAATGACTGCAGAAAGCTGTGACTTTCCTTAGATTGAAGGAAGAAGAGAGAAGAATGCATGTTGCCTGAAACTGGAAGCAAACAGTGGGGTGCATTTGGGGGCTGGTACTGAGACTGCTAAGTAGAAAAAGCAAACCCAGAATGTTCTTGGCTCCAAATGCTTGATTCTACTTTCCAATCTACTGATTGGAGGAAGACAATGAAAATGTCATCATTGCAATTAAGACACTGCTCTCAGGCTGTCTGGGTTCAAATCCAACTCAGACACTTTCTTGTCCTGTGCCTTTGAGCCAGCCACGAGACCTCTTTGTTCCTGCCTCAGTAAAAGGGGACAATAACACTACCCATCTCGTAGGGTTGGTCTCAGCATTCGGTGTAATGCCTGACACTTAGGAAGTGCAATATGGGCATTTGCTAATGTTGCCAGCATTATTATCATTACTCTTATCTTTTAACATTGTGACAATAGAAGTTCCTTTCCTACCATAGAAACCTGGAAGATTATAAAGTAAATATTGTCTCGTTTCACTGGGTGCTTATCTGTTTTGTGATTAGCTGTTCCCAACTTGACTATTAGCTCCTGAGAGCAAGAACCATTTCTGTTTCATACAAAGATGTTCCTGGTGTGTGGCACTGTGCCTGGCGTATGAGGCGAGTGCATTTAATGCCTGACCACTTAATGCCTGAATAAAATATGTGGCAGCTCCTAATGTCTGGATTGGGGAACTGAATGGACAATGGGACAGTCCTTCATACAGAGCCACTCTGAGGGAGATCAGGGAAACCCTGGCATATGAGTTTATGAAACTGAATGAAGTTACCCAAAAAAATGTATAAAATGAGAAAAATGCAATTTTTTAGCATTTATTTTATGTCAGGCATTGTTCTAGGTATTGAGGGAAAAGCTGGGAAATGGAAGAAGACAAAAGCCCTTGATCTCCCAGAGTTTACGTGGGTGAGAGGGCACATTTTGACATTAGACATGATAAACGAGTAAATCACATAGGCTATTTAGGGTAAAGTAAATGCTGTGGCAGAAGCTGAAATTTGAAATATGGTTATCAGCACAGGCCAAACTGAGGACATTTGAAGAAAAAGTTGGAGGAAGTGAGGAAGTGAGCCATATGGATATCCGTGCGAACACTCCAAGAAGATGAAGAAATAGCAAATGTGAATGCACCGAAATAGAAGCTTATTTGATGTGTTCTAGGAGGAACAAGAAGGCTGTGTGGCCACAGCAGAGTAAGCAAGGAAGAAAGTCATAGAGGATGAAGTCAGGTTAGTGACTAGGTTACACTGAGAACAAACTTCACTGTGAGTGACGTGTGTGGGCGTGGGAAAGGCTGAACAGAGGAATGTCCTAATAGGACTCACATTTCAAAGTGACCGCTTTGCCTGGTGAGTTCTTAGTAGCACTCTGGGCAAGGGTGGCTGCAGGCAGAGAGCAACTAGGAAGTAAATGTAATAATTAAGGTAAGAGAGAGACACTGGCTTCGACCACAGTGACGGCCGAGGAGGTTGTAAGAAGCAAGTCAGTTTTGGGCAGATAAAAAGGCAAAGCCACGCCAACAGGATTTTCTCAGTGATTAGATGTGGGACTGTAAAAAAGTAAATTTTTGAACATCAACAATTGTTCAGAGGTTTCTGACCCCAAATGCTAAAAAATTGAATTGCCTTTATTGTGTAAGAAGCAGGGTTGTGTGAAAAGCAGGCACTTCCCCAGCCATCAGATACACTGATACTTAAGGGATGGACAAAGGAAGACAAGCCGATAAAGACACTGAAAAGGAGGGGCCTGAGAAAAAAGATAAAACAAATCATGAAACATATTTCTACTGAGAGAAAGCAAGTGAATGATACTTCACTTCTGAAGTGGGAAGGTGGAATGTTAATGGCATTTTCTGAGACTATACCATTTAGCCTAAGGGTGAGACAGTGCGTTTGTCTCAAAGAAGCAGAATAAGTTTTACTTACAGAGAAGAACTAACGGTTGCTTTGCAGATGGGCAAACCTTCAATACTGTATTGTGCAAAAGAAAAAGTGAAACACAAAATAATTTAAACTGTATTATCCTTATACTGTAGGGATCTACCACCTCGGGATTGTAATATGGTCAGTGCTGGCCCATGCTTTGTCTCTGTAGGATGATGAGAAGTATCAAGACTACACACAATGAAAATCTTTACAGGAGGAAAAAAGACTTGAGATAAGTACACTTAGTTTTCTATTGCTTTTGTAACAAATTACCATAAACAAGTTACAAAAAAACCCACAGAATTTTTTTTTTTTTTCTGTCCAGTTCTGGAGTTCAGAAACCCAAACTGGGTTTTACTGGACGAAAATGAAGGTATCTAAAGGGTTATGCCCCTTCTGAAGTCTCTAGGGAAAATCTTTTCCTTGACTTTTTCACTTCTGGAGGCTTCTTGCATTTCTAGGCTCATGGCCCCTTTCCTCCATCCCTAAGACAGCAGCAGCCCCTGCTTTATTTTGCATGGTTTCTCTCTGTCCTTAAAACTGACCTCAGATTTCATACAGAATATCTGAATGAAACAAAGGCAAAGCTTTACTGGTGAGCATGAGATGACAAGTCTTTGCTTCATAATTGTCATAACAGAAAGAAACTGTATCCATTAGCTACCCAGCAGGACCTTGACCTCTTTAAGATCCAGGGATGGGTTGACAGGAAAGGAAAGTGGAGTGTAAACCAGTGCTTCAAAACCAGCAGCTGCCACAAACTGTAGTGACCTTTCAGTGTCCTGCCGACTTCCACTCTCTTGCTTCCAGCAGGAGTTAGAATCTAACATTTCTTTACAATGGCCTCTCTAACTTCTTGGACTCAAGGTAAGTGAACAAAAAACACTAAAGGAGTTAACAGGGAAGTCAGTTGCTGCCATGGAGAGTGCAGAGGCATGGTTGTCTAGGGTGTGGTTAGTGAATCGATACGACATCTAGTCCTCTTGTTAGTGATAGAGTTTGGCAGAATGGAGAAAGTGTGGACCTTTGAGTTAAACAGGTCGTGGTAGGAATCCCAGGCAGTCTTTCTACTTATGTTGTCTTTGGCAAGTCACTTACCTCCTTGAGTCTTAATTCTTTTATTCATAAGATTAAGAAAAGAATACCTCTTTCAGAGGGTTGCTGTGAATATAAAGGAAATAAGTTACATTAGGAGCCCAGCGGAATGTGTGACATATGGTGGATACTTGATATTAGCATGCCTTCCTTAATGATGGAGTTGAGCAGAACCAGACAGGGTCAATTTGAATTTTGAGGGTAAAGGAGAAGGCAGTTAGGACAAATATGTTAATGGGGCACAGGACACTGACAGCAGTGCATGGAGAGGATAAATGCAACGACAGTGATTGGGATTCTCCCAGAGTTCTCTTTGGATGAACAAAATGGCACCCAAAGGAAATACCTATTGGGAAGTACAGAAGGGGCAGTACCGGGCATACAGCTGAGATACTGGGCCATGCCAGCACACTATATGGAGCAGAGGTTACTTGAGTGACTTAAATACTAAGCAGTGCTTAACTCCCACTCTGCAAAGCTCCGTAGTGAAAATGGCGGTAAGTGAGCAGAAAGTGGATAGAAGAGGGAGAAGCAAAGGAGGATGCAAAAGAGGAAGAAAAAGAAGAAGAGTCAGAGATAGAGTATAAAGTAAAGGAGAGTGTGTTTAAAATGAAAATATGTTTTAAAAGTGTTTTGGGCAGTGCATGCTACATACATAGTAGCAAGCCACTATGTATGTGAGTTATTGATGTTGGCTGACATCACTGTTGTTGTTAAGTGAACACACAGTTCACACCCAGGCCTGCCTGCCTTCTAAGCCCGCGTTCATTCTCTTTTCTCATTCAACCTTCTAAGTGCTGAGGGAGGAGTTGAAGTGGAGAAATCAGAAGCAGGAGGTAAACCAGTGTGTGTTCATGGCTCAACGCAGAGTCAATTCAAGTTTTAAATGAATTTTTAAACCCTAGGGTAAAAGAAAATACGAGATGAAGTCAAACCAATTGAGACTCAAGACAACGCAGTAAAGGAGGACAGAATATAGCAAGAGCATTCAAGATATTTACTAAACCCAAGGTCACAGAAGCCTGTTTTTTTGGAGACAGGGGAATGTCACTGAATGGATGAGTTATCTTTATTGGAAAGCACCGTATCACATAAATATGTGTTTGGAATGGAGGTGATTACACCAGCCCACTGTCATGTGGGTGTGGGAATTCTTTAAGGTCTACATGACCTCTGACACATGAAGGGCATAGTGATTTATGTGTGCAAAAACTAATGGCTGGATTCATGCCTTATCTTGATGAGAGCTGGGTCATTGCCCATTTTTGAGGCCTTTGAATCCCTTTATCTTCTTCAGTATAAACTTTTTCTTCTCTTCTGGGAAATCTTCCTACTCAGAACTGTGATTTAACGAACTGTCACACAAAGAACTCTCTTCAACATTCTTACTTGTTACACAATAGCCAATTACAGTGTTAATTTCTCCAACAGAGTGATTGGTTCAAGATAGTCGTGAAATCAGCAAAACTAATCAAAACCTTACCTGAGGTGTCCTCTGGAAGAGGAGAGGGTTCTACTTCTCCAAAATATCAAGCTGCATGACCCCAACTGTCTGCCAAAAACCACATTTCCTGATCACCTGATTAATGACTCACCAATATGAAGTCATTTCACAGAGGAGAGTGAATCTGAAATAGAGAGAGACACAGGTGACTCATGACATCCTGCTAACCCGTGATTCCCTGATCCTCCTCCTGACAAAAGCCAGATCAATTCCTGTACTTTCCACCCAATGTAAACCAATAACTCCCTCTTTCCCTTCCCCCATCCCTCCCTTCTTTATCATTCAGTTTGAACTAGGTGTCTATTACTTGAAAGGAAAAGGTTTCTAATTAAATTAGGAGAAAATATTGAAAAATTAATAACATTTATGTTTGGAGGCCTTTGACTCCAACCAGTGGTACAAGGATATATTAAGAGGTATTTTTAGTATCTAAGATGTGGGCAGAGGCGAAGAAAGCTGAAGGCTGCAGTGAGAGAGAGAAAAAAAAATAACCTCCAGTTCATTATTTATAATAGTAGAATTCAGGCACTGCATGTATGAGAATTGATGGAACAGCAGAAAGGAATGTTAACTAATTGCCAAGAATTAGGGGTTGAAGGAAACCACCCCATCCTGGTCAAAGCTCTACAGCAGAGAAACCCCTGCCCAGCAGAACAAAACTAAAACCACAATGAAAGGCAGCTCAACGTGAAGGAGTTAGAATTCATCACAACTAGATTAGAACATTAAAAAAAAGTAAATCTCATCCCAATATTAGGCAATTTAGAGGCATGGTGTGCATGGACCCTATGCTCTTTAACCTGTCAGTTTGCAATTAATGACAATGAGAAATTGATCACTTCAAAGATAACATAAAGAATATTCTATTTGCATTTGTCTTCTTCACTGTCCACCCACAAAAGCTGGAAAGTGCAGATTGGTTGTGGAAGGTGGGGAACCACCTGAGTCAGTGACAGAGCCCAGGGGCTATAGGCGACAGGTGTTCTGGCTCCAGGGGAATGTGAGCCAGTTCCTAAAGTGCTCCTGAGGCTGAGAGGCCTGCAGCCAGGGCAGTTCAAGCGAGTGTTATGTCTGGAGTAACACAGGAAGTGGAAGTGTTTACCCAATGCCTATACCCCCATTGTATCTTGAAAGTAGCTAACTTGTTTTTTGATTTTACAGGCTCATCAGTGGAAGGGATTTGCCTTGTCTCAGATGAGACTTTGGACATTTTAGTTAATGCTGGAATGAGTTAAGACTTTGGGAGACTGTTGGGAAGGCATAATTGTATTCTGCAGTATGAGAAGCATATGAGATTTGGGAGGGGCCGGAGATGGAATGGTATAGTTTGGATATTTGTCCCCACCCAAATCTTGTGTTGGATTGTAACTCCCAGTGCTGGAAATGGGGCCTGGTGGGAAGTGTTTGGGTCATGTGAGTACATCCTTCATGGCTTAGTGTTTTCTTAGAAATAGGGAGTGAGTTCTGGTGAGATATGGTCATTTAAAAGTGTATGGCGCCTCCTCTCCTCCTTGCTCCTGCTCTGGCTATGTGGTATGCTTGCTCCTCCATCACCTTCTGCCATGATTATAAGCTTCCTGAAGCCTCCCCAGAAGCCAAGCAGATGCCAGTGCCATGATTCCTATCAGGCCTGCAGAACTGTGAGCCAATTAAACCTGTTTTCCTTATAAATTAGCCAGTCTTAGGCATTTCTTTATAGCAATGCAAGGACAGCCTAATACACAACTCATCTTTTATTACCTTTTTGTTCTCCTCCCTCAGTAACCTCACCTCTACTTAGTAAAACTCACCTGCATACAAGAGGAAGAAAAGCTGTATTTGTAATGAATAAGGATGGCAATCACTAACAAAATTAAAACGCTTCATCTTAAGATAATTTCCTAAGAATTTTATATGAATAAACTCACTTTATTTAATTCTGACAACATACAGTCTGTGAAGCAACTAGTATTATTAGTCCCATGGCAGTTCATGAATGTATTGGATCATGAACCCAAACCTGTATGACATATTTAGAAAATATAAATTAGAGAAGCATTTATCTTGCTATTGGCTGGTTCTATTTTTTACAAAACAAAACTAAGCAAGAAATTGTTCCAGGCGAGAAGACACTATTTGAGGTGTGCATAATTGACATCGTTATCTGTCAAGTGGGCTGAATAAGTCCAGCAGCTATTATAAGGTCATTAAGAAAAGGGTAGTAATAGGTTCAGAGGCCCAATTGACTGTGTTCTAATCACAGGAGAAGCAGCATCCTTGACAGGGGCCTTGGGGGAAAATGTATTGAAGCAGCAAGAAGTGTTTAATGACCAAATCAGGCAGGGAAATCAGCACCTGTGCCCCAGTGAGAAGGATAATTTCAGCTGGGGGTGTGGATGAGCTTAGAGACAGGGTCCCTGTCACCTCTTTATTTTCCTCCTTCTTCCTATTTCTTGATATTACAGCAGCTACAGAAATCTGAGAACTCTCAAAGAGATATCTGAGCAAAGACAGTAGCAAAAGAAAGGAACACACTCTCCTTCCATGAATTAAATAAGTTGACTTGGCTCAAAAGATCGGTGCATCCTAACCTAGCCCCAGGTCCCCTCCCGCTACTGACACAAGCTGGTTTTAGTACACAGATTTTGTACTTTTGTTTATAGAACTCAAACTTTGCTTTGAAGAGGGGTAAGGCCTCAGGAAGAGAAAGGGAAACAGCCTCCTAATTGAAGCAGAATCTAATTGTAAAAGCTCCTTTTCAGTAGGCATCTACATGTTCTGTTTTAATGCACCAATTACCTGTGGTCAATTGCCTGCCCAGCAGCCTAGGGAGAGAAGAGCTGGAGAAGAAAATGATATAATGAGAACCAGGCCTAGGACAAGCCTAAGTGCCTCACCAGGAGCATCCTGCTCAGTAGCAAAGAGCTCCTAATTACAACATAGCTGAAATCGCCACGGGATGAGGGAGAAACAAATAGACGCTGGCGTCCCTGAAAAGTTTCTTCTCCATGCTTTTTTACCCACCTCTTCAGGGTGATTATATTGGTGGTAAAAGTACAATATTTTGGTTATAGTACATTTTGTAAAGAGACCCTGAAACTTCCCAGGCTGAGTAAGCCTGATTCATTCCTGTTCTAAACTCCCACCAAATAATCTTTTTGCAATATATTAAAATCTTTTAAATATATAAATAGATTTATATTTATATTTATATAAATAATATATAAATATATAAAATATTAAAAAATGTTAAAATGTTTTTTAATGAAAACCCTCTTTTATATTTTCATTATTATTGTCTTAATTGACAAATAAAAAATTTTATATATTTATCATGTATGCCATGGTATTTTGATATATGTATACATTGTGAAATAATTAAATCAAGCTAATTAACATATTCATGACCACATATATTTATTTTTTTGTGATGAGAACATTTAAAATCTACTCTGTTAGCAATTTTCAAGTATAGAGTACAGCGTAGTTACCAAGGGCTGGGGGCACAGGGAATGGGGAGATGCTGGTTAAAGGGTAAAAAGTCCCAGTTAGGCAGGAGGAATGAGTTGTGGAGCTCTAGTTTACATCGTGGTGACTAGAGTAAATCAGAATGCATTGTATTCTTGAGGTATTATTGTGCCCAGTTTACTAAGGAAGACTGAAGCACAGAGGTTAGGAAATTCACCAAAAAGTACACGGTTTGTAGTGAAAGTTTACCTTTATTAAGGTATACCATGTACCAGACATGGGGATAAGCACTCTACAAGAGACTATACCACTAAAACCACAGCCGTCTTTCAAAGTGAAAATTATTACCACTTATTTATTTATTTATTTATTTGAGACAGAGTCTCGCTCTGTTGCCCAGGCTGGAGTGCAGTGGCGCCATCTCAGCTCACTGCAAGCTCTGCTTCCTGGGTTCATACCATTCTCCTGCCTCAGCCTCCCGAGTAGCTGGGACTCCAGGCACCCACCACCACGCACAGCTAATTTTTTTTTGTATTTTTAGTAGAGATGGGGTTTCACCATGTTGGCCACGATGGTCTCAATCTCCTGACCTCGTGATCCGCCTGCCTTGGCCCCCCAAAGTGCTAGGATTACAGGCGTGAGCCATCGCACCCGGCCAAATTATTTTTTAATCTTTTCCAGCACATGAACAGTCAGAGACTCAGAGTGATTCAATAACTTGTCCAAATTCATACAAAGAGAAAGTGATGTGTGGGTAGAATACCGGCAGGCTAACTCCGGGGCCCTTTCTCTCGAATTTCAGCCTGACTTGCTAGTTCACAGGAGTGGTTTTGAAGAAAGATCTTCTTACTACAAGTGAGGATTTAGTAAATTCAAATACAATCCTGTGCAATACACAATTGGATAATGTTAGATATAAAAGTATTTAATGTGTGAATCCTCTAACCTGAAGGTGTTCGGTTGTTATGGTTTGGTTTGTTTTTGGCTGATGGGTTTGCAAGCGTGGAGCTGTTTCAATGCCCTTATACTCATTGACGTAATAGAAGCTTGGGTGGTTTAGAGAACACAATGGAAAGTCACGCCTCTCAGAGGAAGAGAGCTAGACAGGAATGGGTAAAAGGAGAAGCAGTCATATTTTTTGGCACTACTAAGGATTCTGGAGAGAACATATATGTCTAATAGGATCTAGTGAATTTGCTTGCTGGGGGATCTGCAGTGAGGGCCTACTCCCACATTTTCCATGGAAATGTCAACAAAATTCAGAATAATTATTGTGTTTGCTACAACTATGTTTCCTTTTTTAGAAAATATGAGAAAGTAATGAGCCCTGTGTCAAGACTGTTGGGAGCACATGGGGACAACTGATTCTCCCTTTTAAATCAACAGCACAACTGACTCTCAACCTAATTGAAAGTTGAAAAAAAGAACTAGCAATTGCATTAGCTGATCAGTTCCACTCACAACCCCCACACCTGTACATAACGCATCTACTTCCTCCAAGATTATGATGATGCTGTCTTTAGTTAGCTAACACACATTTCTTTCATTCTAACTGCCTGCCAAGCATTATTATTATTTCCAAGTTTCGAGAATATAACAAACTTGATCTTGATCTACATGGAACTTCCACTATAATGAGGAAAGAAAAATGCATAGCATAAATAATTTTGGATCTTAATAGATGCAATAAAGGCTTATGTTTTTGATATGGTAAAGAATGACTGAAAGTGAAGAGAACGCTTTAGAGTGGTCAAGAAAAGCTTCTTAAGAGAAAGAGACATTTGACAACAAGAGGGAAAAGCATTTCAAGTAGAGGGAAGACCAGGTTCAAAGGCCTGGAGATGGGAATTGAGC